CCCCCCTGAGACTTCCTGGAGTCCCCCCAGAGACCCTCGGAGTCCGTGATAAGCTTGCGGTCACCAGATAAATACTACACTTTGAGCAAATATACGGCGTCCATCACAATGGGGTTCGGCGAGTCTGACCGCGCATTCCGTCATCCGTATATCCGAGCAAGCGAGCGATCTGAAACCACTACATACCTGGAGCTCCCCCACACTTCTCTGGACCTCTCCTGCTGTATATATATATATATATGCAAGACTGATGTGGCGCTTCGCGCCATGCACCTTGGTCCTTGAAGTTTGGTATGCAGGCGGAATGGCAGGAAGGTCAAGCCGACAATTTAGCGATAACTCCTTGTCGCCTTTTCCGGCATCGCCTTTATGATCATGTTATTCGTCATTATTCCTCCATGCTTCGTTTTCCTAATGCTCGCCATACCCTGCGCATTCTCCCAATCCTCCTCAGCTCTTTTTGCGGAGGCTCCTCCTTGGAGAGCCTCTGGGCGCCTCAAACAAGTTTTCAAGCTTTCTTAAGGCTTTCTGAAGGCCTCCTGGGCGCGTTCTGGGGGCCTCTGGATGCTTCCTCGGGCCACCCTGCCTCCAATCGCGGTCCCCCTGAACGACCGGGTCACGATTTGGAATGCTTCGGAGGGCGTCTTGGGGCCATCTTGGACCCCTGTTGTGCCGTTTTGGCGCTCAACCCTTTTCGGATGTTTGAGGAGCGATTTGGGAGCCTCCCAGGCGGCTTCGGACGCCCAGAAGACCGCCGTCTTGGAGCGTCGGGATGCCGACAAAAAGGAGAACCCCAAAATGCACCAAAAACTAATAGAAAAACAATGGTTTTTGCCTCTTGGGGCCTTCTTGGGAGTGCTCTTGGAAGCCTCTTGGGACATTTGGAACGATCTTTGGGGGTACGACGGTTTCGTGGGTATCGTCGTGGACCGTTTTGGGGCTCTCTGGGGTTGTTTCGGGAGCGCGCCGGAACGCCTGGAACCCGTCTGGGGCCGTCTTCGGGCTCTCGTGAGGTTCTCCCGGGTCGTCTGAAGGGTCGCCCCGAGGCCCGGGGAAGGCCAAGTTCGTTTGCCGGGGGGGGGTCCGGCGACCCCTTCACTATAGAAAATATGAACAGGAAAACATATACATATACACACACATACACACACACACACACTTCTGGCGTTGAACGACTTCGATCGCGCGCCCCTGCGAGGCTAGCAAGGCGCGCTTCCCGTCATGCGCCACCGCGCCTGAACGATAGTGCAATAGTGGACTGCCAAAAGGTGTCGGTTGGCTGTCTCGGTGGGGCTTCTCCAGCTGCATCAGGAGATTGGGGCTTATGCAATCTCTCGAAGGCCGACCCCGAGATGGAATGGGAGGGACAGGTCGATTGAGCATCGTTTTACCGATCCCCATCCCCAGCGGCATGGCCTGGGCCCCACTGGCCGATTTACCCCCCTAGATGGGGATATGGGCCGTTCCCTTCGGGGTTCGAGGGGTGTATCCCCAAATGGGGTTTTGATGGGGGTCTCGAAGGGGATGAGGATGGGGATGGGCATCGTTTAAAGGATACTGAGAAGGACAGGTGGATGCTGTGGGGAGGGGACTGGGTCGGAGGAGGGCCAGTTGAGACGACAACGGTTCACCCGCCTGGCCCAAATCGGTCCGCGGGCCCCTTCCGGGGTCCATCCTGACCCGTCTTTTGACGCGGATCCAGCCGTGGCGACGAGAAGCCTCCAGGAGGCCCGGAGAGGGCGCACACGCTGGGGAGGGCGGCCGTTGCCTCGCCTGGCCCTCCTCTGCGCTGGGGAGGAGCCAGCCCGCCCTTGCTTCTAGCGGGGCGGCCACGGCTCCTCAGGCTCTGCCTCGCTGGCGATCCCGCCCGCGCCTGCCCCCGCCCAGCGCAGGTGTGCGACCACCTCCAGGCGCGGCGTGTGCGGGCCGTTGTCGAAGGGCACTAGCGCCCGCAGCTCGTAGCCCCGCTTGGTGAGCAGCGCCACGTCCCGCAGCAGCGCCCGGCCGCTGCTGACGTACACCAGGCTGGGCACCTGCAGCGCGATCAGGCAGCGCCGGAAGGCCTTCGGCAGCCCGTTTCGGCCGGGGTCCGCCAGCAGCACGTCCGGCCGTGGCGGCGGCGCCGCGCCCAGGGGCTGGGCAGACTCGCTGGCGCCGCCGTCGCCGCCGTCGCTCTCCTCCTCGCCCTCCTCAGCGCAGTCAGGCTATGCCCATGTTCGCTGCCACGGGGTCGTGCCCTGGGATCCTCGAAGAGCGGCGGATCCGGATATCATCGGGCGGGCGGCTGTCCACACCTTCCACTCCTCGAGGCCCCAGGGCACGACTGTCGCGTGAATTTCTTACTCCTACGGCGCTGGACCGAAAACCAGAGATGAGAAACGGAGCAGGCGCGCGACAGCCGAACGCACGGGCAGGGACGACGCATCCAGACCCAGCAAACACATGGGAGCAGCGATGCGGGAAAGCCAGGATGACGCGCATCTTGGGCGAAGATGGCGCGCAAACGATGCGACGTACCATTTGGATGACGAAAGCGCGGCTCGATGAAATCGGAAGCAGGAAGAGAAGGAGGAAGAGGAGGAGGGCCCAAGCGGATACTCCGTCGCGAGAGCCGGTTGGAGGATACTTTCGTGAGGGAGAGGGGTGAAAGAAGGGGGGGAGAGGGAGGAACCGGAGGGGGTGTGAAGGGAGGGAGGGGGGAGGAGCCGCGTAGTGACGGGGTGTGAAAGAAGGGAGGAGCAGGGGAGGGGGTCTAAAGGGATGGGGGGGGAGGGAGGGAAGGAAGCGGAGGGGGTCTGAAAAGAGGGAGCGGGAGGGAGAGGAAGGGAGGGGGACTGAAGGGAGGGGGGGGGAGGGAGGAAGGAGAGAGGGACATGGGTGGAAGGGAGGTAGGGAGGAAGAAAGAGAGGACGTGAGGGAGGACGAAGGGAGGGATAAGGGAAGAGAAGGGAGGAAGTGATGGGGGGAACGGGGGAAGGGGAGGGGGTGAGAAGGGAGGGAAGGGGAGGGAGGGGGAGGAAGGGGAGGGGGTGTGAATGGATGGATGGAGGGGGGAATGCGCACGCACCTGTAACTTTAGGTAAACATTCTGCAGGCGTAAGTCTTGCAGGAGTAACACTCGCCCGAGACATCCTCGCAAAATCATTACGTGTGCAGCCGCCTACCAGAGCAGATTCTTCACTTGGGTTTCAGGGGCCTGCATGAGATTCCCACTCGGCCTCGCGCGGGACCCCTGGCAAACCCTGGGACGAACCTACGGGGCGTCCAGAACGGACGCGCCCGTCGCACATGATTTCACGGGGGGGCGTCCCGATGATGGCCCCTGCGGTTGCTCCAATGAGCTCCCCGACTGTTTTCCCGAAGGTTACCCGGACGCGTTGTCCGACGGCCACCGAAATAAATGCCGCGATGGCTGCCCCGAGCAGACATCGGAAGGGGAAGCCCTGCCACGGGGCCGCGTTGGGCCCCCCAGTGGGCACTCTTGGGGCCCGCCTGAGCCGCTCTTGGGCCCTCTCGGGCTATCTCGGGGCCCTCTTGGGCCGACTTGGGGGCCCCCCAGGCTGTCTCGGGCCTCTCTCTGGGGCCGCTTCCAACGTCTTGGAACCCAGCGGTCGCCGTGAGGCAAACCGCCCGTGACGGGCGGTTTGCACCCAAGCAAACCGTCCGTCACGGGCGGTTTGCAACCAAAAATCGGACAGGGAAGTCCCGCCGCAGGGCCGCCTAGCGCCCCTTTTCGGGCTCTCCTCGCGCCCCCAGATACGCGCCCCCAGATACGCGCACGCCCCTGCACACGGCACGCCAGCCCCTATGCGCGCACACAGTGCTACTCAAGCCGCCTCTGGGCTCGCGACACGCCGCGCATTATGCCGCCGGGCGCCTGACGCGCATCTGTTTTTTTCTTCAAAACAGCGGGGGAGGAGGAGCAAGAATTCATTGCAGAACAGCAGAGGTTATAGGGCAGAGAATCAGCTCACGGAGCCAGTTTTCCTGGCGCCTCCTGGCGCCGGGAAGCGCCCAGGCATCGACGAATGGGCCTGGCGGCCGGGCGGAAAGCGGCTGCACCCAGCAGATTTCGTACCCTCCTGCCCCCTCACCTGGTCCGAGACCCTGCAGCGTTGAGCAGGGCCCGGCCGCCCCGGCATGCCTATGGGCCTATGCCACAACATGTTCTTGGAACGAAAGAAGGCTCAAAAAAAAACCTCGGAGGGAGCGCGTTTCACGGGCGCTGGCCTTGGCAACATCCGGCGGCGCGTTTGAACCGGAGGGAGCCCGCGCCCCCCCGACCATTCGGCGCCGCCGTACAGAACCAGGGGGGCTCCCCTCCCCCCTCCCCTCCTCCCCGAGACCACCCCCCGGCGCTGGCGCCGGCACGCCGGCGCCGGCGCCGGCGGCGGCGGCTGGCGGCGCCGACGGCGGCGATGCGGCGACGATGACCAGGACGAAGACGATGACAACGACAAGGTCCCTTGTAGCCCTCTGTCCTCGGCCCTAGCGTCGAGATATTGACGGGCCCGGACCTAAAACATAAATGTTCATCGCGTTGCGCCGCGTGCCTCCCGCACTCTCCGTCGTCGTCGTCGTCGTGGCCGTCGCTGTCGCCGTCGCCGTCGTCGTCGTCGTTGTCGTCGTCGTCGTCATCGCCGTCGTGCTCGTCGACGTCGTCGTCGTCCTCGTCGTCATCGTCGTCGCCGTCGCCGTCGTCGTCGTCTCCGTCGTCGTCGTCGTCGTCGTCGTCGCCGCCGCCGTCGTCGTCGCCGCCGTCGTCGTCGTCGTCGTCGCCGTCGTCGTCGTTGCCGTCGCCTTCGTCGTCCTCGTCGTGCTCGACGTCGTCGTCGTCGTCGCCGACGTCGTCGTCATCGTGTTCGCCGTCGTCGTCGTCGTCGTCGTCATCGTCGCCGTCGTCGTCGTCACTGGCGTCGTCGTCGTCGTCGCCGCCGTCGTCGTCGTCGCCGTTGTCGTGCTTGTTGTAATCGCCGCCGTCGTCGTCGTCGTCGTCGTCGTCGTCGTCGTCGTCCCGTCGTCGTGGCCGTCGCCGTCGTCGCCGTCGTCGTCGTCGCCGTCGCCGTCGTCGTCGCCACCGTTGTCGCCGCTGCCATCGTCGTCGTCATCGTGCCCGTAGTCGTCGTCGCCGTCGTCTTCGCCATCGTCGTCGTCTTTTCATCGTCGTCGCCGTTGTCGCCGTCGTCGTCGTCGTCGTCGTCGTCTTCGTCGCCGTCCTTGTCCTCATGCTCGTCGTCGTCGTCGCCATCGGTCGTCGTCGTCGTCGCCGCCGCCGCCGTCGTCGCCGTCGCCGTCGTCGTCGTCGTCGTCGTCGATATCGTCGTCGCCGTCGTCGTCGCCGTGGTCGCAGTCGTCGTCGCAATCGTGGTCGCCGACGTTGTCGCCGTCGTCGTCTCCGCTGTCGTCATCGTCTTGGTCGTCGTCGTCGTCGACGTTTTCGTCGTCGCCGCCGTCGACGTCGTCGTTGTCGTCGTCGTCGTCGTAGTCTTCGTCGTCGTTGTCGTCGTCTTCGCCGTCGTCGTGCTCGTTGTCGTCGTCGCCGTCGCCGCCGTGGTCGTCGTTGTCGTCGTCGTCGTCGTCGTCGTCGCCGTCGCCGTCGTCGTCGCCGTCGTCGCCGTCGCCGCCGCCGCCGTCGCCGCCGCCGCCGCCGCCGCCGCCGCCGCCGCCGCCGCCGTCGTCGTCGTCGTCGTCGTCGTCGTCGTCGTCGTCGTCGTCGTCGTCGTAGTCGTCCTCGTCGTCGTCGTCGTCGTCGTCGTCGTCGTCGTCGTCGTCATCGTCGCCGCCGCCGCCGCCGCCGCCACCAGCCGGCGCCGGCGCTTGCCAGGAGGAATGAAGGGGGGTTCGAACCCCTCCTCTCCCCCTTGAATCGTCGTCGTCGTCGCCGTCCCCGCCGCCGCCGACAGCCGCCGCCGCCGGCAGCCGCCGCCGCCGGCAGCCGCCGCTGGCGCTGGCGCTGGCCCGGGAAGGGGACCGGCGCCAGCGCCGGCGCAGGCCCGGGGGAAGGGGGGGGGGTTCGAACCCCTGCCCCGGAAGATTCGAAGCACCCCCCCTTAACCAGTGGGGGGGGGCTCGGTTCCGACCCCCCCCTTCCAAGCGCCCGCAGAATGCGCTCTTTCGTAGAAGTGAGAAGTTGATATCAAAACAAGACAGTCTCAGCCAAACGTGTTCTGAGAACCTGCCGTGCAAAAGCCACAACGGGCTCTCAGAACCTTCTATGATGGGCCCCAAGGCAAACCAGGACGCTTCGCCACTGCTTGAAAGCGGTGGATCTGGACATGCTCTGGTGGTGGTTGGCGGCGCGCACAAGGGGGTAGGGAAGGGGGGAAGCCTTCTTCGAAGCAGGCTGCTTCTTAGAAGGCGCCGGCCCTGCATCTGCAGACAGGGCCCGCGCCTCCTTACGAACCAGGGGTGCTGCTAAAAAAAACCGTCCCCCCCCCGCTGCGGACCCCCCCTCTGCGCGTGGCTGTGGTGGATCCTCGCCCTCCCAGCCCGGGCCCGCGGGCCCCGCGGCGCGGCCCGCGGAGAGCGGGAGGCCCAGGCCGTGTAGCGCCCGCGGGCTGCCCAGGTCGGCGCAGACCACCTCCGCCTTGGCCTCCAGCAGGGCTCCGAGCTACAGTTAGGTCGGGCATGTCCCCCTGCAGGCCGAGTTTGGAAGAATGGTGAAACATGAATCAAGAAGCATTCCAGAAATCAGTCCAAAAAAGTAATTAACAAAACAGACTATGGTGTGACTACTTTTGAATATTCATCCTGTGGAGGAACGCGCCCGACTTGAAATTACAGTCGATCCGTATCATAAGGACGCACGATAAGGATGCAAGGACCTTGGAAGGCCATGTCGACACTCTGCTAGCGGGGCGCGGCCAGCGAAAGCGGCCGAGCATGGGCCGAGGAGGCAAGGATGCAAGGGTACCCTTGGGAAGGTTGCCCATCCCTGCGATGCGGGTTGACTGCAAACAGTGCGTCTCATTCTCGCCTTGTTCTCGCTTTTCCTCGCTCTGTCTTCGTTCCGCCTCTGCTGCCCAACGAACTCGAAGCGGAAACGGCCCGCGAAATCGCCAAAACACCGTTAAGCCGTTCTGTTGCCCCATCGTACTGAAGGACCGTACTTAAAGGACCACATCCCAGAAATAATTTCAAGAACCCGGAAAAATGTCAAAAGAGTGTCGAAAGAGTGTCGAAACAGTGTCGGACGAGTGTCTCCCAGGGCCCGACGCGCGAAAACGCTCGAGTTTCGGTCTTTTTCCGGTGCTCGACATTCTCTCTGGTGATCCAGGCTGAAGTAGGTTGGAACATCATGACCCTGGCCTCCAGGCCGCGCAGCGCGAGGTTCCGCCGCAGCGACCCCAGCGCCGGCGCCGAGCGGTCCAGCGCGACGAGGCGGCGGCAGCGCCCGGCGAGCAGGGGCAGCGACAGGAGGCCCTGGCCGCAGAAGGCGTCCCACAGGACGTCCTCCGCGCCCACACCGGCCAGGTCGGCCACGGTCTCGCAGATGGTGTCCTCCAGCAGGGATCGACCCAAACAGTGTTGTTCGCTCTACGTTGCGCTTTTGCTTTCCCTCGTTCTGTCTTCGTTCCGCCCTCGCTGCAGAACGGAGTCAAGACGAAGACGGCCCACGAGATCGCCAGAGCATCGTTTAGGTTTAGGTCGGGCATGTCCCCCTACAGGCGGATATAGGAATTTTGAAATCTCCTGCTGTCGAGGGACACGCCCGACTCGAGTTTAGGTCGAGCCCTGGCGTCCTCCAGCAGCGTGTTCTGGCGGGAGAAGGCCTCCGGCGCCAGCTCCAGCTGCGCGCCGCAGATGGAGCGCACCAGGCGGGCCTGGCCCACCAGGGCCTCCTGCGAAGAGAAAGAGGAGGAGGAGGAGGAGGAGGAGGAGGAATAAGAATAGACAAACACGACATAAAGCAGGAACCGTCGGAGCTCCGCACGGATTTCTTGGACCGGCGCTGGAATCCCCTCCCTGGCGCGCGGAGCGCGCCAAGGGCAGCGCCCGAGGCACCGCTGGGGGGTGAAGGTCTGAGTCTGCGACGTGTGCTTTCTTAGATCCTGCGCACTCTGGCCGCTGCTCCGCCAGCCGCTGGCGCGCAGGGCAGGCTCGCCGCCCTCCGTGCTCCTCAGCAGGGGGGGCAACTGGCCCCGGAGACCTTGGGGGCCTCCCCCCCGGGGCGAGATCCTCATCCCGATGCCCTTCTCTGACAGTCCCGGGGCCCACGGAGGGCCTCGAGAGCTCGACAACGGCGAAAGACCTCGGGACCCGTTCCCGTCAGGACCCGTTGCCCCCATCTCGCCATCGCTCGGACGCCCACCCCCCGTGCATGTGTTCGGCTTCGTGCGAGAGAAATCTCAAGGGCACGCGTCGGAGCGATGCCAATGCCACGGCGAGCTCCAGGCCACGCCGGCGACCTCTCGGCAGCCCTCGGCGATGGCGGCGGCGAGGCGCGAGAGGGGGCCCCGCGGCGCGGAGGCGATCGTCACGAGCGTCACCAGCACGCTGCGGGTGGGCTCACCACCCTCTGGCGCGCCGGGAGCCGCGGCGCTGCGGAACACAGCGCTGCAGAGCCAGCCGCGGCCCGTGCGCTCGTCGAACACGGCCACCTCTGGCTCCGCGCGCGCCGCGCTCATCGAAGAAGAGAAGACGGCACACGCTTCAGCATGCGTAAGCGTTCGGGGCTCCGCGCAGCTTCCCTGGATCTGCGCTGGACCCCCTGGCGGCGCCTCTGGCGGCGCCCCCGGCGCGCCAGCGAGGAGGGTCAAGGGCCGATCCAAGGAATCCGCGCGAGGCTCCGAACATATCATTATGTTTTGGCAATTTTCCATTCTTCGAGCTCAGGGTGGCCTCGAAGGCGCGCTGTGCCGCGGCGGGGTGCAGCCGGCAATGCGAGATGCACACCGGGACCGGCGACCCAGCGGGGTGCATCCCCATGCGGGGGCCGTCGCGCAGGAAGAAGCGGAACTCCGTGCGCCCGTGGAAGCCGAAGGTCGGCGGCGCGCCGAGGTGGGAGGCGAGAGGGGGCAGTTCTTCTTCGGGCGGGTGGTGCAGTGGAGGCCAGTCCACAAGAAATTTTCCACCAGAAACCCAGCTCTGAGACCCCAGGACGTCCATTGACGTTTCGTGTGGGAACGTTACGCTGTCCATGGGAAAACCATCGAAACCCAAGCAACCCAGGGCACCCTGGAGGCAAGCAGGGTGTTTCCTGGCATGGGTCTCCACTGTGATGGGATGTGGCCGTAAAGGAGGGTGAAGGAAAGGGCCCTGCGGGGGCTCTTTAGGGCCCCTGCTGGCTCCCAAAGGAGCCCCACAGGCCCCCCTTGGGAGCCCTCCTTCCTCGCCCCCCCCACCGCCCCCCATGACCACCCGCCCGACTGCTCCCAAGGCTGCGGGGCGAGTCAAAAGCCCTCTGGCCTTTGAGAAGCCCACTGCGGCTTCGGAGAGGGCTTTGACAACTTCTCGAAAAGGCCAGGGGCCTTCGGCGCCTTCAGAGAAGGCCCGCCCCCTCCCCTGAGATGAGATGCTGTGAGCGTTTCCATACGCGGCCCCCAGAAGTCCCGACCCTTTCCCCAGGGCCCGTTCTTCATGCCGAAGCGTTTCTAGACGGCTTCCGAGGCCCAACGAGGGCTCCCACAGGCCGAACATGGCCAAGAGCCTCCCGTGGTGTTTTCTGCTCACGACGCGAACATGTCTGGGTACGCCTTCCCCCCCCGGCGCGCCGCCGAGAAGTGCGACGGCGAAGGCACCACCTCCCGGAGCAGCTCCTCCCCGCGCGTGATGCCGTACTCGCGGAGGCGCAGCGCGAGCAGGCTCCGCTTCGCCTGCAGCTGCGCGGGGTAGGCCAGGTTCTGGAACGCGCACCCGCCGCACTTCTCCCCGAAGTGGTCGCAGAGAGGTCGCGGGGAGAAGCACAAACAAGGACGGCACGGGCACACACTTCTTCGGACCCTGCGGCCAGGGGCCCCGGGACCATCACACGGGGCTGGACCTAAACGGTGCCTTCCGGTTTCGTTTCGCTTCGGTCTCCCTGGTTTCGTCCTCGCCACGCCTCTGCGCCAAAACGAAACCGAAACGAAAACGGCCCACGAAATCGCCCAAACACCGTCTGAGTCGAGCCCTGCCATCACATCGATCCAGCCGCGATCCGATTCGCGACAGTGCATCTTCTCGTCGCAGCGTTGGATTTCTGAGAAGGTCCGCGCGGGCTCTCCGAGTCGGTCGGCGGCGCCAAGGCGAAAACGAGGCCAGCACAGAGGGGGGGAACGTCGGATCGGGACAAATCGACTGCCCCTGAGACCAGGGTCGACCCAAACGGCGTTTTGCGTTTTCTTCGTTTTCCCTCGTTGTGGCTTCAATCCACCTTGGCTGCAAAACGAGGTCACAACTGAAACGCCTCACAACATCACCAAGACACCGATTAGGTCGAGCCCTGCCCCGAGACCCAGCGGTTCTAGAGGGTGCATCGGGCGGGCACCGCGGCCGTTCCAGAGTGTTCTGGGGACGCTCTGAAAGCCTGGCGTCGCGCACAAGGAGGGGATTCAAGAGAGGAGGGAAACTTCTTCGAAGATGGCTTCTCCTCAAATGGCGCCGGCCCTACATCTGATAGACAAGGTCCGCGCCTTCTAAGAAGCGGGAGTGTTTCGAAGAGGCTTGCCCCCCTCCCCCTACACCCCCCTCCTCTGCGAGTGGCCGAACAACGCTCTGGAACGCCCCAGGAGTGATCGACGCGCCTCTGGTGCGCCAAGGCGCCGCCGGGGGGGGGGGGGCAACGCAGGGCCAACGCAGTCCGCGCGGACCTCCAACTTTCCGGGGGTCCTGGAAATTGGCGCCAACATCTCGGCGGCGACCCTTTCGATCAAAACTCGGACCCAAAGCGAACCACGCCTACCGAGTCTCTGGCTCCTAAACTGTTTTCATTGTGTTGGGACTACGAGCAGCAAGGCAAATTGCAACGCCCCGTTCTGCGCACTGAGACTTACCGCGAGTCGAACAAGCTCATGTCGAGCAACGCCGTCGGCCCAGGCGCAACCCCCAAAAAATTGCACAGCGCCATCAAGACACCGGATGTCACTACAGGTGCACCGCGGCGCGAACATCGCAGCGCGTCAAAATGATTCGAGTCAACGCAGCGTTGGGTTGCCCAGCCGCAGTACTGCAGCGCCGGGTGGCCACTGCGCGCTGGAGAGAAACCGCGGCGAGTTACCCCGCCGCGCGCTGAAGCAATTTCGCAAGGTGCTTAGCGGCGGGCCCCCCCATCGCGCGGCGAAGCGGCATTGCGGAGTGCCTAGCGAGGGATCCCCCCCTCGCGCGGAGATGCGGCCTCGCAGGGTGCTTGGCGACAGGTTGCCTCGTCGCATGGGGGGGCGACCTGGCAGACTGCTTAGCGACGGGTTGCCCCGTCGCGCGGGCGCGAGCGCCCGCCCCCCCCACCCGCGCCCTGTTTGGGCGAGCAACGACATATGTACATGTACGCCCTCAGCGGTGTTACCTGCACGAACGTCCGCGTTGACACGCACTCCACGGGAAACTAACCGCGTACGTGTACATATGTTGCTGGCCTCTGACTGTTGTTTCCCTCGAAGAAGGACGGAATCGAGGGGTAAAACGGTGACTTCGAAGGCGAAAACTCTGGCCGCCAGAGAGCACGCCACCGCGGGCCTAATAGAGCGCCCTCGCCCTGAGCCGCTGGCGTCTGCGTGCGACGCAGACGCGGCGGTGGCGATCCACCCCTGCGCCCTGGGGGGCTTGCTCGCCCCTCCTAGGGGGCTGGCTCCCCGAGCGCCCTGCTTCGGGCTTGCAGGATGTTCCTTCTCCCTGTTCCTCGGCCGAGGCAGACTTGCAGGCGCCTCGTCGTAGGGGTCGGCGCGGCCCCCCCAGGGCGAGCGCTCTGGGGGGGCAACCCTTTTGCAAGGCCTTTTGCGGCCTTATGTCCACTGTTGCCTACGTGTGCACAGCTGCCCCGATCGCTGCGCTCACTGTGCTCACTCTGGCGATGCCAGCGCATCGGCTCGAGCCTCTCCTCGAAGCGCGGTTTGGAGCACTCGCCGTCTCGGGCGACTTTTTCGCGGGGCCTGCGAGCGCTCGACCTGTCGGTCGGCCCCGACGTCTCCCTCATTCCTGCCCCCTGGGAGCTGCCGCGGGCAATCACCTGGGCTCACTCGCTACAGACCCCTCCGCTCAAGGACATGGCTGGGCGGCCTTTGTCCGCCGACGCTATTCCCCTGCGCGCGGTTTGCAGCCGCTGCCCCTATCCAGGAATTCAGCGCGCTCGTCGCAGAGCCGCTCAGGACTTCTGTCTGGGCCGCCTCTTTCCATCCTGTGGCACGCCCTCCATCTCATACTGGAGGTCATCACGGCGTCCTAGATGCGTTCCTCACAAGGACTCAAGGACGGGCGACTCTGGTGCGGCATTCATCCCCGAGAGCTCGCTGTCCCGACCCTCAGTGAACTCGCGGGGACTATTGTCCGTCATCTTCACGGAATTGTAACGGGCGAAGTCAAGGATGCAGCCGCTTGCGTCTGCACTGCCAACCTGTACCAATCCAACACCGTCAAGAGACCCGTCGTCCTTTGACGAGCCGACCGCTGGTCCTAGAGATCCCCTCGTTGGGTCATCGTGACTGGGGGTGTTGTCGCAGGCCGCGGCTATGTCCGCGTCGAATTCGGCGGTCCGCGAAGGGCTCGCGCGTCACTGCGGAATCCTCAACCACGCAGAGCCAACTGACTCTTTTACCTGGCCTGCCCGAAGCAGAGCCCGTCGCCTCGTGCATCTCCTGTTTCCACGTTCGGAAGACTGGCGCGGCGGGCAAGCCTCGGGACTCAACCTCGATCGTCTAGCATCGCTCGAACTGCGTCTTCGGCGGAGCTCTGCCGCCCACGATGGGGCGATCCACCGCTCGTGCCGCGAGGATCATCCCCGATGGGTGGAGGTGGCGGAAAATTGCGTTGGTCGCCCTGGATCCTGGATAAGTGCTCGGGCCCACTGGGCCGTTATAGGTGCGGTGCGTTCTTGATAGCCGAGGTTTTCATTTCCGGGCGCGGGGTAACCGTTGCGGCTATGCTGCCATCTTCTCAGGCTCCTGATGTGTTTTTAAAACGTGTTCGGCAGGGAGCGCCCCCGTCGCAGCGCGCCAGTGCGCCGCCCTCGCAGCGGCGGGGCACCCCTCCGCAGCCTCGCGCGCTGGGGGCGCGAGGGCGCTTTTGCGCTGGTGTCATCGGCGACCTGGCCCCGGCCACTGTCCACTCTGCAAGCTCACGCGGCCGTTGCGTCATCGGCGCAAGCTGTGGCAGCCTCATGACTGGGCCCGCGCGCCTCGTGACTGGTGATATGTCTAACAGAGATCGTAGAGAAACGTCTCTCCGACTCGTTCCAGTCATCACCCGCATGATTTAGCTGCTCCTAGAGAGCGGCACGGCCCATCGTCGCGCCACTCGCGGCGGCGGCGATTTCTGCCATTGGACCCTTCATCTGCTCCAGCTCCTCATTCTAACGAGCTGTCTCGAGTTCGCGCAGCGCGTCACTGTGCTGCGCATGAATGGGATGATTGCCCTCTTGGTCGCTTTAAACTTAATTGAACCGTTGGCCCAATGCCGCAAGTTGTTCACGGAGGTCGCTGCTGCCCCTACTCGCGGCCCCCTGGCATTCTGGGCCACGAGGACTTCAACGGCAGCGTGTGCTTCACGGTCGCTGGCTGGGCGGACTTTATGCGGTTGACTGGCAAACTGGGGTATCGTCTGAATTTGTTCTGAAACGGCCCGCGCTAGCTGGTTGCCGCGCTCGTTGTTCGCCCCCGCGCGTTCCATGATTTGCCGCGAAGAGCCGGGGGAGCGTCTCTTCCTCGCTCTTGAAGATCTATTTGTCGTTGCCTACCTTGCTCCTGCAATGCCGCTTGCATATCCAGCGGGTTGCTGGGCTGCGCGGGCGCGTCGACTCGAAATCGCTCGATGGAAGCGCGCCCGCTCGACGCCCATTGGCATGGCGCGCGCCGACTCGGCGCCCATCGGCATGGCATGCGCCGACCTTCCGCTCACCGGCATGGCCCGCGTCGACCTGGCGCCCATCGGCATCGGCATGGACCGCGTCGGCTCGACGCTCATCGGTATGGGGCCCAGTGGGCGGTCGAGAGGGGCAACTCGCTTGGCTGTCGCGCAGCTCCGTGTCGCGCTCTGGCCCGTCGCAGCTGGCGCGACACACCCGCGCCGTTCTGGGGTATGTCCGCGGGGGAGGGGCGCGAGATCGAAAAGGCGCGAAAAAAAACTCTCCCGCTTTCCTGGTTCTTCCGAGATCATCCTGAACGCGGTAAACCTGCCCGCGTGGGGCTGCCCCACCGCGTCCGGCGCATCGCCAGTCTGCCCAAGCGCGTCGCCCATCGCGCCGAATTGCCCCAGCGCGTCGCCCGCGGCGACGGGCTGCCCCAACGCGTTGGCCCCGCTATGCGAGGAACTTGCGGGCGTCGGCGCGTCGACGCTATATGGTATAGGAGTGGCACCTTCATCGACAATTTCCCGCGCCTTCCCAGCCGCGGCGGCGACAGCTTACCGCCCGCGTGTCAAAGCGCGGCCGTCAGCGGGCCCTTCAACTTCGAATGGGGTGCCCGATATCGTGGCCTCGAGATTCGCTACCAGCGAATCCGAGGTGGCCACGTGGACTGCGGTGACTCACCGCAATTTCGGCTGGTAACTTATGAAATGGGATGCGTTAGGCAATGGGCCAAACTCCGGGCGTCCTCCAAGAAGGCTTAACTCGCCTGCGAAGGCGACCAGGTTCCCGTCAGTTGTTCGAGCCCGCGTTCCGCCGTGACTCACGAAGACGCCCCGAAAAGAGAAAACAACAACTAAAACCGTTAGCAATCGTCCCCCGCAGCACCAACAACGCGTGGCGGCGAGCGCTCGGCTTCATACCATACCTGTCGCTCGGGCACGAATGCTTGTTCACGCTCTCCCTGCAA